CCCACCCCCCTCCCCAGCACCCGCCCCGCTCCTTCGGGCATGCTGAGTCCAGCTCGGCCCGCCAGTCCAGGTCCACGATCGACTCGTACTCGCTGAAGATCTTGCGGGCCTTGCAGGCGCGCGGCGTCGTCGCTGCCGTCGTCGCCCCGCCCCCGCCTTCCTCCTCCTCCTCCTCCTCCTCCTCCTCCTCCTCCTCCTCCCCCTCCTCCTCTTCCTCTTCCTCCTGCTGCTCCTCCTCCTTATCATAAGGAGGACTCCTTATCCTCCCCCCCCCTCTCTCCCATGGCCCCCCCTCCTCATCCCTCTCCTCCGCCTCCTCCTCGAGCCTTCCCAAGGACGAGCGCCGCCAAATGACTGTGGCCGAACTCGCCGGTCTGCAGGACAACCGAGTGCAGGTACGCCGACAGGTGCGACGTCGGGCCCCGGCAGCGGCGGCTGATCGAGATCGTCGACCAAAACCTCCGATCTGAAGTGACACGCAAGGCTTGGCGTCTCCATCTCCCGAGAATGACCGCCCACTGCTTGCTCGCATTCGCCGAGATGCTCGTGACCGACGCGTTTCCGCGCAGCCCAGGCGCGGCGGCGGCGTCGTCGCCGTCTGCGGCCGCATCGCCGCCAGGCCCGCCGGGCTCGCCAGCGCCGTCGCCAGCGGGGTCGTCACTCGGCGAAGACTTCTTCGCAAGGACGGCGGCGAAGGCGGCGTGCAATTTCGGGCCGACGGCGCAAAATCGCTCCTCGATGCCCTCGACCCTGCCCCGCCGCTGGGCGATTGGCGCAGGGCGCAACTTCCCGGCGCGCACCTCGGCGTCGACGACGCCATACCCCTCCGAAGAAGCCCACCAGGCGCATACTGCGCGTGCAACGTCGCGCCATGTATTGCAGCATATTGCAAGCGAGGAGAAGTACTTCCATCCCGTGCCCCACTTGGCACACAGCCGATCCACGAGCTTCAAGTGGTCGTGGATGATGAGGTGGCCAACGTGTTCGAGGCAATCGGTCGACATGAATATGGAGTTGACGCTGTCTGCCGCGTTGGCGGCCGTCAACTTCCTGCACTTGACCTGGCCAGGGCCCTGGTCCGAAGTGGTGACGTACCACCTGACGCCGGCACTGCACGTCTCCGAGAACAACTGCGCGCCGAGGGCCGCGAGCTGCTTCTGCGCAAGCGCGAAGGTGGCCTCGCCCGTGCCAGCCGTCACGGCCTGGAGGTCGGACAACCGTTTCATCCAACGGACGGCCCTCCCCATCCACTCAACGCCCATGGGCCCGTGCGCGGCGTCGTCCGCGGTCTGCGGGATGTCCACTGCGTAGGACAGAAGTTCGAGGGCCACCAACTTCTGTCGTTGCCATATGCCGCTGTTGGTGGCGTCGCTGCGGTAGGAGAACACCCGAACCTGCCTGGCGCAAGTGGGCGATGGCAATGGCGGCGGCGGCGGCCCAGAAGGCAACGTCGCGCAGCGGCCAAAATTGACAGCGTGGGCGATCAGCGCCGCGCCGACTCGCAGCTCCGCCCGCGCGACTGTCTGCCGGGACACCTCACACAATACCGTCGGGCCGAAGTCCGCGCACGAGACGTTCGACATGTTGCGACGCACGCCAAGAGCGAGCAAACTCCGCACAGTCAGGCGGCGCTCGCTCGTCTTGGCAAGCGCAAGCACGTCGCCTGGCGGCGAGGGGAGGAGGAGGAGGAGGAGAAGGAGGATGAGGAGGAGGACGAGGAGGAGGAGGAGGAGGAGGAGGAAGAGGACGAGGAGGAGGAAGAAGAGGAGGAGGATGAGGAGGAGGAAGATGAGCCTAAGATGAGCCAGAAAGGGCCAATGGGCCAATGGGCCAAACGGAGGAGCCGAGGAGGAGGAGGAGGAGGAGGAGGACGACGACGAGGAGGTGAAGTCCTGAGGAGGGGGATGCGATGGGGCAGCAAACGCAGGGTCGAGTGAGAGGTCGAGGGGGAGGAGGCCCGAGTGAGCTGAGAGGAGGAAGATGGAGCTCCCTCCTTATCCCCTCCTCCTCGCATCTCCGCCGAGGGGTGGGAAGTAAGGTGAGATAGGGGAGAGGGGGCGGAGAGGAGAGGCGGACCGGCGCCTTCGAGGGCGGCCCGCATCTCGGCGATGACCAGGTCCTTGGCCTGCATGCTCTGCAGCCGGCGCTCCGCCAGCTGGCGCAGCCGCCGCTTCTCCTGGAGAGGGAACAAGCGCCCCCCCCAGATGCCTAGAGGTCTGAGGTAGGGCCTAGAGGCCCGTCCCTTCCTCCACCCTCGCTCCTCTCCTCTCTCCCTCCTCCCTCATCCTTCCCTCATCCCCCCGGCCTCTCCCTCTCCCACCCCCCCTTCCCTCGCACTCCAAAAAACGAAATTTCGAAAGGGCATCCGAGAGTTTCCAGACTGCCAGTCCTGAGTCCTCACCCCTCCTCCTCCTCCTCCTGCTCCTCCCCCCCCTCCTCGTTTTCTCTATCCCCGTCGATCCCGACCGGCAACTGCGAGCTGCGCCGCCGCCCGGGCAGCCGCCGCCTCGGCCGCAACGACGACGCCGCCCTGCGGCGCGCCCTGCGGCTCGGCCGCGACGGCGACGCCGCTCGAGCCGCCGCTGCCGGCGCCGCCGCTGCTGCTCGCCGCCGCCGCCGGCTCCGACAGCCGGACCGCCGCCTCGACGCCGGCGCAAGCTGCCCCCGGCCAAGCTGGCCCAGCAGCGGCGTGGGCTGGGGGGATTGTTTAGCTGATCCTCCTCCACATCCTGCTCTCCCTCCTCCTCCTCTTCCTCCCCCTCATCTTCCTCCTCCTCCTCCTCCTCCTCCTCCTCCTCCTCCTCCTCCTCCTCCTCCTCCTCCTTGGCTCCTCGCCTCCACCCATCCCCCCCCCTCCTCCAACTCCTCTCGTCAAAATCCTGGGACTCAGCGACCTCCAAACATCGAACGCGCCCAGTCATCGAGCCGCGCCCAGCCGCGGCGACGAGGGAGGCAGGGGGGGCCCGGGAACCGCGACGTAGCGTCGGTGGCGGTGGGGCCCCCGAGGCGCGCCTGCAGTGCGGCGCGCAGCGCTGAGCGACGCTCGAAGACGACCGACGAGGGCCATCGTCTCCGCCGCGCCGAGAGGCCGCACGCGCGCGCCAGCCAGCACTGAGGCCAGCGCGGGCTCGACCAGCACGTGGCCCAGGGAAAAGGGGTCCGCCACCGCCGCGTCCTGGGAGGACGCCGCATGCCCGGGAGAAGAGGGACGAGGATGAGGAGGGGGTCGAGGAAGAAGAGGAGAGGCGGAGGAGAGGAAAAAGGAGGGAGCGAGAGAGAAGCTGAGGGAGAAGGAGTAGGAAAGATGAGGACGAGGACGAGGACTCGGACGAGGAGAAGGAGGGGGGAGGGAGAGGGGGGGTGGGCCTTAGAGGTTCTCACAACATTACACGTTGCGGGCCGAAGCCGAAATCCCCAAAAACGCGGGCATAGACCTCGTAAACATGATTTCCCCCAGGGAAATCCGGGACGAGGAGGAGGAGGAGGGGGATATGATGCGGAAGGGTCCGAGGTCCTGCGATGCCCTCGCGGCGATCGTGGCAGCGGCGGCCGCCGACGAGGCCACGACGCGGGCCAGGCGAGGCAGCTCCGCGCCATGCATGCTGATCGCGCCAGTGTCATTCAGGTGACACAATGGCGGCAGCACGCGGGAGAGGAGGTCTAGAAGCGACATGCCTCAAAGGCCTCGTAGCCAAAATGGCTGAGGGGGAGGAGGTGAACGAGGGAGGTGCATTGCAGCATTCCCCTGCACACCCCCTTCCCCCTCCGTTTCCCCATCCCTGAGTCGGGCGGTCCCCTGATGTTGCGGGGGGGGCGATTGTCCTGCCCCCCCATCCGCCTCATCTTCCTCCTCATCCTCCTCCTCCTCTGCGTAGACCTCCTCCTCCTCAGTTTCCCCTCTACTCCTTGTCCATCCTCCCTCCTCCCCCTCCCTCCTTCCCTCCCCCATCACCCGCCCCTCCTCCCTCCTCATCCCCTCTGCTGCCCCCTGATCCCTCCTCCTCCCCCTGGTTCGCATCCTCGTCTCCATGTCCTCTTCCTCCGGGATGACTTCGATGCCGCCTGGAAGCGGTTCGAAATCATAGGCGACACCGCGCGGACCGTTCCGTATATATATATATATATATATATATATGTATATATATATATATATATATATACATATGTGTTTGTCATGTGCCTGGATTTCCAGCCGCAATTCTTGTGCTGCCCTGGATTTGTTTATCAACATTGAGGTGTTCTCCTGGAGCTGGGTTTCAAAACTGGTGTTTTCATGTCGGGCTGCTTTTCAAAATCAATGTTTCCACCTGGGGTTACCTGCTATTTGCACGTGGAGTTGTTTTTCAACATTGATGTGTTCACCTCGCGCTGCGTTTCTAAAACCGATGTTTCTCCTGGAGTTCACCGATGTTTCACTGAGGGTGGCTTTTCCAAGCTGGTGTTTTCACCCGGGGCTGCTTTTCAAAACTGATGTTTTCACTTCGGGCTGCGTTTCAAAATCGATGTCTCTCTTGGGGTTAACTGATGTGTTCACTGTGTGTGGGCTTTCGAAACTGATGGTTTCACTTCGGGTTGCGTTTCACAATTGATGTTTTCATGGGGATGCTATTCAAAATTGTTGTTTTCACCTGGAATTGCTTTTCAAAACTGATGGTTTCACCTGGCGACAACCGTTACAAAAACGCTTGGGGAGGTCTCGGGGCCCTAGGTTCCCCAAGCACAGGTGGTATCGTTCAAATCCTCCCGTTGGACGTTACGAGCGTTCCGGAGCGGTCTCAGAGCGTTCCGGAACGCTCTGGAGCGGCCGCGGCGCCCAATACATCCTCCAAACCCGCCGCTTCTCAGAGACTTCGAGTTATCCCGATCCGATTTTGTCTCGATCTCCGCGTCGTTTTAAGATCAGCACCCGCCCAAGCCTTGCGGGCCGCCGCCGGCCCGGCCTCGCGGGGGCGCGTCCCCAGGATGGCCCCGGCCGGGGCGCAGGGGCCCGGCAGCGCCGCGGGCTCCCGGGCGGCGGGGGCGCGGGCGGGGCGGCCCGCGCGCGGCCTCGGCGCCCGCACGGGCCAGAGCTCCCACGCGGCCTTCATCTCCGGCTCGCCCTCGCCCTCGTCGTCCGTGGGGGGGTAGATGGTCAGAGGAGGGCAGGGTGAGACAAGGGTGACGTTTTTGCCTTTTTCGCCTCCGAGGGGCCTCCTCGTCGCCACGGCTGGACGCAGCGTGAAAAATCTGTGCGTTTGGACCCCGGGAGGGGTCCGGGGTCCGATTTTGAGCCGACTTGGCCACCGTTGTCTCACGGCCGTTGTCTCACGTTGCCCTCCTCCGAGATGGGGATCTTCGCAGGGAAGCCTTCGTCCTCGCCGGCGACGTCCTCCTCCTCCTCCTCGCTGTCGCTGTGCCCATCCTCTCGGGGAGGTGGCGCGAGACTCGGGCGCGGGGGACTCGTGGGTTGGCACGACGGGGCCATCGATGAAAATGACGAGGCCCTGTCTGAAACTTGACGCGAGCTCCTCGTGTAGATAGACATCCCGCGAACACCGGATCGTCAAACTTCAGGACGCGCTCGTCAAAAAGCGTCGGGAAACCCGAGCTCCGGCGCACTCGAGTCTCACGTTTTCCCGATCCTCGCGCGGATCAACTAGATCGGGGTCAGGAACTTCGCATAGAAGAACAAAACACCATCAAATCAGATCGGCCTTTGAAGTAGGAAGCCGGAACCGGCAGCTGGTCCGGTAGCGCTTCCGGCACGCGTCCACGCGTGCCTGCACGCGTGCAGGCACGCGTGGAAGCGTGCCTGGCAGCGCTTCAGAAGCGCTTCAGGAGAGCTTCCCAGAGCTCGTCAGGAAAGCTTTCGAGTGTGAGTGCCTCTTTGCTCTCCGTTTTCTGGACGCTAGCAAGTCGGCCTTTGAAGTAGGAAGCCGCTCCTGAAGCAAAACTACTTACTTGCCACAAAAACGACGAGCCTCCTCGCCACCGCTCAGCAGCTCGGGCGGCGCCGCGTTGCCTCGGTGGCGCATGCCCCTGGCACACCGCACGGGGCCCCACGGGCCTGAGGGGTAATGACAGGGAGGGGCTGGCATAGGGAGTGATGCATCGCCCTGGAACCGGCGACACGTCGCCGACAGATCGGCGAGGGGCCCCCCGAGAGTGAAAATCAGCACCTTCCTGTTCAGGTTGGGGCTGTCGGCCCTCGATCGGCGATCAGTGCACGATTGGGGGTCGATGCGTCCCCCCCAATCAGAAGAAGAAAAAACGCCACAGACAAAAACTGTTTTTTTTCCCCAGCGCTATTTTGGGAGAAGAAGGAGGAAAGGAGAGGGGAATGAATCGCGAATGAACTGCCGAGCCGTGCCACAGACAAAAACTTGAGGCGCTCCGCGCGGATTCTTGGATCTACGCTGGGCCCCCCCTCCCTGGCGCGCGGAGCAGGCCCGGGGCGGCCCCGGAGGCGACGCCAGGGGGGCCCCAGCGCGCATCCAAGAAATCCGCGCGGACCGTCGATAGTCCATGATGTTTATATGCCGTTGTTCCTTCTTCAGAGTCGGCCACATCGTCCCCTGCGGCTCCCCTGAACCAAGGTGCGGAAAGTTAGTGGAAGCAAGTGAGACTTCTCCTCCTCCTCCTCGTCGGCCTCCTCCTCCTCCTCCATCATTTTGGGGTGCAGGGTGCCCAGAGTCGGCCACGTCGCCCGCTGATGTGTCTGATGCTCTTCTTCTTCAGCCTATGCTCAGGTCGGGCCTGCCCCACATACAGGTGGACTTCGGACGACAAATACAACATAGTCAAATAATGCACCCCAAAAGGATCAAAATGGGTAGAACAAATCGCCCCCAGACTATTGCTTGACTATCTTTGAATTCTCCTCCTGTAGAGGGACAGGCCCGACTTAAACCTATAGTTATGTTGCTCTCAGTGTACTTGCCCCTGGAAAAGTGTCGAAAGCGTGTCGAAACAGTGTCGGACGAGTGTGTCCCAGGGCCCGACACGTGAAACCCCTGGAACTTCGGTGCACGATTCTGGTGCTCGCAATTCTTTCTGGTGCTCCAGGCGAATGTAGGTTGCAACATCATAAACTCGGCTACGCGCAAGAGTGACCCTGGGTAAGAGTGACCTTTGGTGCGCGGCTTCTGGGGGGCCGCGGGGACGCCAAATCCAGGCGCGCTGGCCGCTGCCACCGCTTCGCGTTCGGCCATCTGGGGGCCCCTCTGTGCCCGCACCACAGGTCACTCCGGGGACAGGTCACTCTTACGCCTGGTCGATCAACCTATGCCTACCCCCCCCTATCGTTGCCCCCGAGGGCCGCCCATCGGCGACGGCGGGGCGCCCCAGCACCCGGGCGCGGTTCCCGCCGCGGAGCTCGGGGCCCACCGCCCCGGCGGCTCCGCCGGTGGCGCGCCCCAGGCCATCGAGTCGTAGCTGATCCTCGCGGCGGGGCCTAGGGGCTCACGAGCAGGGACGCACAAACCCCAGGAGCCCTCAATGATTCTCACATGTAGCCTCTGGAGCTTCGTCTTCCCCCCCACCCTTGCCACATCTTCCACATCTTCTCCTGAGCATCGACGATCAACCGCCCAGAGATGCGACGTCGTGCTTTTTTCGATGCGCGGTCCCCCGAAGTCTCGACCCCTCCCCCGGGACGGTCCCGGGGCCCGGCGGGGGACCCTGGAGGCCGAGGCATTAAAAAAAACTCCGTCTTGATGTTTTGAATACGTGGGATCTCTGGGATCGACGATCCACTGTGCCTGTGTGATGCTTCTCCCTCTGCATCCTCTCGGACGCGTCCGACCGGAAGGTCAACCTCTCGGGCGCCGCGCCTCCGAGGTCGGTCAGCGGCAGGGCGGTGGGCCTCTCGGACTCGCAGAGCGCCGAGGAGGGGAACCAGTACTCCGGGCTGCGCGGAAGCCCTGGCTTCCCGGCGCCGCAGGGCGCCTGCAGAGGGCAGGGAACCCACCCCGATAAGAACCGTCCCGACACGCGACGCCGTCTAGTAGACGCGCCCACAAAGAAGGGATCGAACAAGGCGGGGCTGCGCAGAAAACGCCCCGGGCCGTTTGGTAAACGCCAATCGTCCGGTCCGGGTGGTTTCTCCTCCCTTAGAGGAGCGCGTTCCACTACTCGCAAAGCAGCTGCTCGCAGATGGCCTCGATCCGCCGGGGGGGGTCTACGATACATCACGTAAAAGCAACATATGTGCTTCTCGGACGCTTGCGCGTGGGCACTCTGCGAACAGCGGAACGCGCTTGGAGATCCCTTCAGCCTGGAAGCCCGGGTGCGTGTTCGTGCCGGCGACGCGGCACCACGCGCGAGGGTCGGCGGCGGCACGGGCCGCGGCCATCACTGAAGGGGCC